ATGCCAGGATTGTGGGGTCGACTCCCAGTAGGGGGCATGTTGGAAGTAGCTAATCAATCATTCTATCTCATCATTAATGTTTCTCTCTCTCTCCATACCTCTTCCTATCTGAAATTAATAAAAATATATTTTTAAAAATCACTGACCTATAGCATTATCTCCATTTGACTCTCTACCCTTCAGTAGAGTCTTACCCAGCAAATATGTAGCCTAATCCTGAATCAAGGACATTAAGGCAGCTACCCTCCCCCCAAATACATATATCTGATAGGCTCTGTTCATCTCTGGTCCTATCTCCTCCAAGTTCCAACTGCTTCAGCATCCCTGAACTCCAATCTCTGAGTGGCTGCTTGGTTCCACTTCCTTATGCTGTGCTTAAGACGTTATTCCCAGTCAGAGGGTCAAGTTAAATTTGAGACTCAACTTCTAGGTGACTTGTCTCTCAGTGAGAAATCTTCTGATCTGCCTATTGCCAAATGTCTAAAAACAGGTACCTCATGTACAATATTTTATTGTGCTTTCTACTTGTGGATATTGAGTATAACATGCTATGCCAGATACCATTTTTCAATTTATTTTGTTTTTAATTCATTTTTATTGTTGAGAGTATTACAGATGACCTCCGTTCTTCCCCCCGCCCCCAAGTCCTCTCCATCTGACTCCCGTCCCCGCCTCCCAGGCCTTCATCTCACTATTGTCTGTGTCCATGGGCTGAGCCTATATGGATTTATATTAATCTCTCAATTACAATAAAGAAATAGAATTTGACCAATCATTTGTCAACATTGGTTTCTTCCAGATCATATATTCTGGCAAAATGAGAACCTTGCAGACTAAAGCTAACTTTCTCACATATTTTGAAAAATTTCTTCACTCCTACCAGCATTTTAGGATACAATTGAAATTCCAATGTTTCATACTGAACACATTCAGTTTCTGTACCTAATATGCTTTTGTGTCCTCATTTTCTCAGTGGTCAATCTACAGTTTCCACCATTACCTCCCTGCTCAGAGACTAGGGTATATCAATTTAAACTACTCAATGTGTTTGGGGTTGTTGTTGTTTTTTTTAGCTTTTTTTTAGCTCCTTCATCTATTTTTTGTTTGTTTGTTTCTTCTCAAACTCCTACTAATACTTCCAGATATTAAATGACCTTTTTGGATAAGTGACTCCTAAATTTTAAACTTAAAAAGTAGTTGTTCTATCCTATATGATTTTATTGTAATTGCCATATTATACTTGGAATTTTTATTTGTTTGCCCAATAATTCTGTGGAGTATATAACAATCTTTTTCTTCTCACTAATGGCAGGTAAAAAATAGAATCTACACAGAATAAAAGGAAAACTTACCTTTTTAAATGAAGAATGTGGATGCAACGGTCCTGACTTGTTGTATGTATATACCAGGAAATGAGGGTCTAAAAATGACCTAATTCAACCAAGATAATGACACTTCATTGTATAAATTTAATTAATAAAAGAAACTTCCAGAATCATAAAATTAAACAAATTTACTTTCAATTATATAAGCTCAGATATCTAAACAATTAAATGTACTCATATTTCCATGATCTAATTTGCTTTCTAATAGCATAATGTGTGTATAAGAGAAAAGAATAAGCAGTATAACCAGATTCCAGTATGGAAGCTGCAATGACACAGCTTCACCTGTAGTAAAAACCAGAGCTTCTAGATTCCCACAGCAAAGTTCTCTTTTAGATTTAACCATCAATACATCTAATAGCATCAATATGCCAGTTAATATTTACGAACAAGTAGCCATCAGTTGATAAAGGCAAAAAACATGCTTTTATTATTAGTTTTTATGCAGTTATTTTGCCGTTAAAACAACCCCATTGTTCTCATTGCCTTAAAACAGCAATGGATGTTCACACATTTACTGCAGGTTGGGCTAATGCTACCTTCATTCTGGGACCCAGGAAAAGGCCTGGTCCCTCCTTGGAGAACAACTTTCTTTTAGCAGAAAGAGAAAAAAAATTGTAGAAGCACAGCATAGTTCTCAAAGCCTTTGTTTAGAGTAGGGATACTAGTTAGTGTCCCTGCTCACATTTCATAAGCCAACCTAAAGGATCTCTGTAGACAAACCCAATATAAACATGCTTCAGAAGTTAAGTCTTTCTCCTGGAAGAAAGTGGTCGTCATGGAACAATCTAACAACATTATTTATTGTAGGGAGATTGGACTTTCTCAAGGATGCCAAACACCAAAAGGCATTTCAAGGCCAGAATTGAGAGGACTAGAGCATTCGCAGGGTACTTTCAGTCACCACGAACTCTCAGTCCTCTTCATTGTCTCTCATTCCTGATAACCTTTCCTTTTCCTCCAGTCAAATAACAAAACTAGAGAGATCCCCTGAGAAAAACAGATATTGATCAGTTCACATTTTATATACACTCTTATGGAAAAATCTCTGAATGGCCTGGGCTGGTTCAGGTGCAAGGACCTGGGAAAAACAATATATCAGGGAGAATTAATATAAAACCATACACACAGACAACATACTGGAAAATTCACTCTATCAAATGGACTCTATCAAATTGCAAGAATTTATAGCAAAAGAATAAGACTCACAGATTCTACACATTGCCAAGTTACTCAATTAGGAAAACAAAAGGGACTTTTGCAGATATGCAGATTCAGAAAGCATGCCATCTGCATATTCTCTCTGAAGAATATAATGAGAAAGTATTCTACAGGAACAATATCTGAGTTAACATAAAATTACAACAGGAAAAAAATACAAAACAGTGATAAAATTTGAAAAATACAAGACATTTAAGTAACTGAAAGCACTGGATTTACATCTTAAATGTAAGAATTTAAAAAATACTGTAGTAATATTATGATATAAATTTAGATGTGAGAGGCACAAGAGAGGAATCTGAGGACCTAGAAAGGAAAATAAAAATATAATGATGATAAAATTTTATTTTGTATCAATAAATCCCACAAAGAAAGTAAGAAGACAATCAATAGGATGGCATATTTGCAACATATAGAACAGATAAAGGGCTAATCTCTATAGCAGCGGTTCTCAACCTGTGGGTCACGACCCCTTTGGGGGTCGAATGACCCTTTCACAGGAGTCACCTAAGACCATTGGAAAACACATATATAATTACATATTGTTTTTGTGATTAATCACGATGCTTTAATTATGTTCAATTTGTAACAATGAAATTGGGGGTCACAACAACATGAGGAACTGTATTAAAGGGTCGCGGCATTAGGAAGGTTGAGAACCACTGCTCTGTAGTAAACAAAAGTTCTCAAAATCTGATTATAGAAAATAAGAAAGAAAAGCAGAATGACAAGGCACAGATTGAAAATAAATACCGAAGACACATGAATACAAATAAAAACCCCAAAGAAAAAACAAAATCTTGGGAGAGGCAATTAAATTAGAATGATCAGTAAACATTTGAAAAGATACTATATGATATTAAGAAGCAGTGAAGTGCATACTAAAACAACCATAAAGTAGTAGTTCTTATCCATTGGTTAACAAAATAAATGAGTCAAGATACTCATTTTGTTGGCAATGTAGAGTACAGGAATACATTTGAATTGTTGGTGTGAATGAAACTGGTATAATTCTTTGAAGTAAAAATTTGGCAATGAGAATTTTCTTATTTATTATCCATCAATTTCACTGGTGCCCAGGAAGTCATGGCTAGGGATATCCACAGTAAAGCTTTCCTTGCTATAAATAATGGGTGGATAATTAATATATGAGGAATATTCATTCGAAGGCTGTATATATAGTAAAAATAAACTCATTTGGCACAGAGCAATATGAATCTCAGAAATTTTCAAGCCTCTGTTTGAATCAAGTCAGGTAATAACATTTTGGCCAAAGAAATCAAATAGTCTATATAAGTGTGGGGTCCGAGGTAAAAATGATGCAAGGCCTCTGTTTAAAACTATTAAGAATCTCAGGACAGCAACACTGGAACATTAAACCAAATACAGGGCCCTTCTAACCGTAAGGCCCTGAGGCACCACACATCATGAATTTGGCCTTGCATAAGTGAATTCAGATTCAAGGGCTGGAGAGTGGGGGCGCTGATGGAAATGTATTTATCCCATCTCTTGATGATAGTCACACAGTTAGTTATATGGCAAAGAGTGAAGATACAGGAAAAGGTAAAGTTTTGGGTGTACTTTTGTGATGCACCATATTAATATAAATAAATTGATGGAATATATGGTATTGAGTCATTACATTTATTAAGAAATACTCAAAACATTAGGATTCTTACTGATCTCTAGACATAAATGAATGAAGATAAGACAGAAGAATATTGCCATTATTGTAATTGTGATTGACACTGGGGAGTAAGAGAAATAGATCTGGGTAAGGAAATAACAAATTTCCCTATTACCAGCCATGGGCAATACACTTCATTTTAAATAGTGTAGGCACAACACTTCCATGCCTGTCACTAATTGTTTAAATTATTCTCAGAATTATCCATTTCTTTTTTATCATTCAAAAGAAAAAAAAGGCATAAAATATTGATCTAATATAAATTATGGACTTTGGGTTGTAATGATGTGTGGATTTAGGTAATCAATTATAACAATACTAGAGGCCTAGTGCATGAAGTTCATGCACTTTGGGAGGGGATCCAACTGATGGCTTAGGCCCACTCCCCACAGGGGGCAGGCATAAGCTGGCAGTGGAACATCCTTAGCACTGCCTCAGAGGCGGGAGAGGCTCTTGCCACCGCCGCTGCACTCGCCAGCCATGAGCCCAGCTTCTGGCTGAGTGGCATTCCCACTATGGGAGCTCACTGACCACCAAGGGCAGCTCCTGCATTGAGCATCTGCCCCCTGGTGGTCAGTGAACATCATAGCGACTGGTCATTCTACCATCGAGCCAAATCAGCTCTCCAACATCCCCTGAGGGGTCCTGGATTGTGATGGGGTGCAGACCAGGCCAAGGGACCCCACCAGTGCACGATCGGGGCTGGGGAGGGATGCAGGAGGTTGGCTAGCTGGGGAGGGACTGCGGGAGGGCCCTAGGGTGCATCTGGCCTGTCTCGCTCAGTCCTGATTGGGTGGACCCCAGCAGCAAGCTAACTTACTGGTCGGAGCATCTGTCCCCAGTGGTCAGTGCATATCATAGCAACTGGTCGACTGATAGACTTTCTGGCCTCTGGTGGTCAGAGCATGTCATAGTGAGCAGTTAAGAGGCCTTAGCATATCATTAGCATATTACGCTTTGATTGGTTGAACGGACAATCAGACGACCAAATACTTAGCATATTAGGCTTTTATTATATAGGATATCATTTTGATGGGGGTTGCTGATAATGGGGGAGGCTATATATATGTGGGGTAAGGGGCTTATGGGAAATCCCTGTGCATTCCAGTCAATTTTGCTGTAAACCTAAAACTGCTCTAAAAAATGAAGTGTATTAAAATAATAAATAATGAGAAAAATATATGAATAAGCAAGCCTCATACAGATAACTGCAAATAAAAGTAATTATTTAAGGAAATATAAACTGATGTTAAGATGAAATAGAATATTTAGCACATTATGCAGGCTTTTGGAAATCTATATTGCTATCATCTTTTCAGAAAGACACTGGTAATGTTTCTCAAAGTCTTAATATAAGCTCCTGCATTGAGCATCTGCCCCCTGGTGGTCAGTGAACATCATAGCGACTGGTCATTCTACCATCGAGCCAAATCAGCTCTCCAACATCCCCTGAGGGGTCCTGGATTGTGATGGGGTGCAGACCAGGCCAAGGGACCCCACCAGTGCACGATCAGGGCTGGGGAGGGATGCAGGAGGTTGGCTAGCTGGGGAGGGACTGTGGGAGGGCCCTAGGGTGCATCTGGCCTGTCTCGCTCAGTCCTGATTGGGTGGACCCCAGCAGCAAGCTAACTTACTGGTCGGAGCATCTGTCCCCAGTGGTCAGTGCATATCATAGCAACTGGTCGACTGATAGACTTTCTGGCCTCTGGTGGTCAGAGCATGTCATAGTGAGCAGTTAAGAGGCCTTAGCATATCATTAGCATATTACGCTTTGATTGGTTGAACGGACAATCAGACGACCAAATACTTAGCATATTAGGCTTTTATTATATAGGATATCATTTTGATGGGGGTTGCTGATAATGGGGGAGGCTATATATATGTGGGGTAAGGGGCTTATGGGAAATCCCTGTGCATTCCAGTCAATTTTGCTGTAAACCTAAAACTGCTCTAAAAAATGAAGTGTATTAAAATAATAAATAATGAGAAAAATATATGAATAAGCAAGCCTCATACAGATAATTGCAAATAAAAGTAATTATTTAAGGAAATACAAACTGATGTTAAGATGAAATGGAATATTTAGCACATCATGCAGGCTTTTGGAAATCTATATTGCTATCATCTTTTCAGAAAGACACTGGTAATGTTTCTCAAAGTCTTAATATACTATAAAATGTGAATATTAAATCAGTTACTACATGAAAATTGCTTAGAAATATCCCCAGAAAATGTTATGTGTTCAAAAAATGCCAGTTACTTTTGTTGTTTTTGTTATTATCATTACTATTGTCATTATTATTCACACTTCTTGATCCAGAAACCTACTTCTTGATATCAAGGCTACCAAACAAAGTATCCTATCTAATAAAAGAGTAATATGCAAATTAACCATCACTCCATGACAAAGATGGCGGCGCCCAGTCCCTCTCAACCCTGCCGGAGTCCCCCAGTCCGGGGGAGGGGGTGGCGCTGAGAGCTGGCAGCATGAGCAGCCTGACGGAATGCTGCCCAGAGGCCCTCCTGACCCTTTATAAAAAAACAAAAACAAATTCATTTGCCATGAGTGATCCCCCCCACACACACACGTGCAGCCTCAGGGTCTCAGCCTCGGAAGTACCGGTGCCCCCACAGAGCGATTCCCTCCCAGGGGCAGCCTCGGGGTCTCAGCCTCGGAACCTTGCGCATCCCCATGGAGTGATCCCCCCTGACAAAGATGGCGGCGCCCAGTCCCTCTCAACCCTGCCGGAGTCCCCCAGTCCGGGGGAGGGGGTGGCGCTGAGAGCTGGCAGCGTGAGCAGCCTGACGGAATGCTGCCCAGAGGCCCTCCTGACCCTTTATAAAAAAACAAAAACAAATTCATTTGCCATGAGTAATCCCCCCCACACACACGTGCAGCCTCAGGGTCTCAGCCTCGGAAGTACCGGTGCCCCCACAGAGCGATTCCCTCCCAGGGGCAGCCTCGGGGTCTCAGCCTCGGAACCTTGCGCATCCCCATGGAGTGATCCCCCCCACACACACCTGCAGCCTCAGGGTTTCAGTCTCAAGCGTCAGCGCCCCTCCCTGGCGAGTGACCCTGCCCCACTGGCAACCTCAGGGAGTCAGCCTCAGAACTTCCCTTGCCCCCAGCCCAGTGATTGGAGCTGGGAGGGGGCAGAGGCGGGTATCTGGGCAAAGCTGCCCAGCAAACTTCTCCCATTGGGCAGAAACTTGTGACCAGGTTAGGGAGGTAAATGGGTTTTGTTTAAAATCTTTACAAACCACAAAGGAAATGTCTGAGGTAGGGTTTCACATCAGAAGTAACTTACAACTAATTTCTGAAGGCAAACTGCGACATTGCAGTTACATTACTAGAGAGTACCCCATGGTCCCGAGGTCTCCGCAGCGGTGGTGGGGGCACTCCGCGCCCTGGTTCCTCAGCACCTTGGGCTGGGCTTGAGCCCACCCAGGAAGGCCTTTTCCCCTACAGTTTTCACCAAGGCAGTCAGGTTTGGTAGACATGAAATAGTGCTCACACACGTCCTGAAGATTCCGAGGCCAGCAGAAATAACAAACAAACTGGGAAAAGAGAAAAACCAGAAACACCACCAATCCCAACATAGATCATTTTTTTCTTCAGATGAGTGTGTTTCCATCTTCTTCGTCTTCTGGAAGCAAGACAGATTCAAGTACTGACGATTCTACCAATGGAAAAGTTAAGAGAAAGAGAGGACAGAAAAGGAATAAAAGGAGACAAGAACGAAAGGACAAAAGATGAAACATCAAGAAAAAGAAAGAGCCCTAACCGGTTTGGCTCAGTGGATAGAGCGTCAGCCTGGGGACTGAAGGGTCCCAGGTTTGATTCCGGTCAAGGGCATGTACCTTGGTTGCGGGCACATCCCCAGTAGGA